TGATGACACTGTCACTACAGCAGAGTCCATAGGCTTGTAGTAGACTTGAGGAATTGGTAGAGGAACACTCAGAGGAACTTCAACTTTTGACTGAGCAGCAGAGAATGCACCTTAGGAGCTTTCTGAAAAGAGGGAATAACATTTGGTGCAGCAAAGTTCTTCAGAAATAAAGGAAATCTCAAAAAAAAAAGGGGGGGGGCAGAGCTACATAGATTGGTAGAGAAGACTCACCTCCAAAGAAAAAAAGCCAATCATTGCATTCACCTGCTTAATGATACTGTCAGGTCATACTACCAGAACAAGAAAAGACAGAAACAGACAACCTCAGACCAGTTTTCAGTTCTGAAAAGATTGAGACCTAGTGAGCTAAAAGCAGGTCCTAGTGGGCTACAGATTCTCCAGAGGGGAGAAAAGATATCAGAGAGCCAGATTTCTGGTGTTCTGATGGAAGGAGGCTCTCCGTCCAAACAATAATTACTTTCCACTTCAGCCTCCTTTCCTGCAAGCCAAAGATGTCAATTTGAATGGTGAGTGCAGTATGAAATTATTGTTTCTGGTAAACTAGGCACATTTTATAACTTTTTGGTGAATACACCAGGAAAATTATTGGTATTTCTGATAAATTATGTACATGACACAACCCTTTTTTTATTATGAAAAGGTTAGCGATGGAGTACTTTAAGGGGTTCACAATGCATTACAGGTATTTTTTATGGGACTTACCATCAGCTTGAGTTACAACCAGCCCTTGCACACAAACTGTGTTTGTTATGTCAGGGGTCCACTATATATTGAAAATGGTCACACTTCAAAAATTGTTATACAGATTTAATGCAATCAAAATCAACACCATGCCACACAGAACTAAAGAAAATAAATCTAAAATTCATGTGGAACCAGAAGCGACCTAGAACTAAAAGAATACCATTAGCATATCTCACTAACTAGAGAAAACGTTTCTAAAATTTCTAAGATTTATTTGGAAACAAAGTGGCCTACAGAAACCTAGAAACAAAATTCTGGACAGCAAAGGAAAGGCAGGGGGCATTACAATCCCTGACTTGAAATTATTGTACAAATCTACTGTGACAAAATCAGCATGGTCCTGTTCAAAAACCAGACCCAAGAATCAATGGAACAGATTAGAAGATGTAGAAACAACTCCAAACACACTGAGTCAACTTTTCTTTCCAACTGTAGTATATGTGTTGCTGAAGTGAGCACTGGCCATCTTATCCTTGACAAAGAGGCCAAACAACTTCGTTACAAGAAAGATACTCTCTTTAATAAATGGTGCTAGAAAAACTGGCTTTGAACGTGCTAAAAGTTAAATCTAGACCCATAACTCTAAACTAAACCAGACCATGCACTAAGTTAAAATTGAAATAGATCAAAGATGTAAATATTAAAACAGAAAGATTAAATCTGCTGGAAGAGAGACCAGGTAGAACTCTTAAAGACATTGATGTATGAAAAGACTTTATGAACAAAAAAAAACCTAATGATACAGGATATATTACAAAGAATCAACAACTGGGGTCTCATCTTATTCAAAAGCTATTGCATAGCAAAAGAAACCACCAGAGTGAAGAGATAATCCACAGAATGGGAAAAAAATTTTTGCCAGCTGTTCCTCAGACAAAGGCTTAATATCTAAAATATATAAAGAACTTCTTTTAAGAAGTCAGACTCCCCCCCCCAAATTTAATAACGCAATCTAAAAATGGCCATCTAAAATGAATAGACACTTCTCAGACAAGGAAGTACAAACAGGAAATAAATATATGAAAAAATATTCAACATCACTGGTCATTTGATAAATGCAAATTAAAACAATACTGAAGATTCCATCTCACTCCAGAAAAATGGCTATGAGCAAGAAACCAACCAGTAACTAATGCTGATGAGGGAAAAAAGAAGCCTTCTCCACTATCAGGGGGAGTGTACAATGGTACAACCACTGTGGAAACCAGTATGGAGATTCCTCAAAAAACTAAAACTAGAGGTTCAATTTGACCCAGCCATTTCCCTTTTAAGCATTTTCCCAGGAGAACTAAAAGCATCATACCACAGAAATATATGGATATCCATGTTTCTAGCAGCACAATTTTTAATAGCTAAGTCTTGGAAATGACCCAAAGCCCATCAATGAAGATGAAGTTTTTAAAAATAAAATAGAGTACTACTCTGCCATAAAGAAGAATAAACACAACATTTCTAGGTAAATGGATGCCCCTTGAGACTATATTCTTAAGTGAAACAAATCAGACACAAATATTTACATACTGCAGTTTCTCTTGCATGAGAAACTGAAAGGTTAAAAAAGGATCAAAATTATGAAAGATAGAAATGGGAAGAAAATATCCAAATGGGAAAAAGAATAAGGGAGAGATGAAAAGGAAAGAAGAGAAAAGAGAAAAAGAGAATAGAAGGAAAAATTGGAAACAAAGCTTTTGTAAATAAGGAGGGGGAAAGGATTTGAAGGAAAGCAAGAGGATTGGGAAAAAAAAGAAGAATCAAGATATATCATGTACACATACAAATCCCCTATGAGGAAAATGACCATTACATATATCTAAAATGTGCCAATAAAACTTTTTAAAAATCCATAGGGTCTGCCATCTTCCTTACCCTGACATCTTCCTGCACACCACTGTCTCATCTTGCTTAAGAGTTTTACCCATTTTTATCTTCTGGAAGTCAACTCATTTGTTCATGCCTTGTCCTCCATGCAACAAAAGAATCCCAGTTTAACCCCCTGCCCCCGGCTCCACTGCTGGCTTGCAATGGACTCCTCCCCAAAGTTGGGATTCTTGTTTCTGAAAGGTGTTTCATCACCCACTCATCTCACCCCATAAGAACCATGTGGGACCAAACCCACCAGTGTACCAACTAGAGAATGGGAAGCCTGGAAAATTCTCTTATGTGTCTTCCACCCCACCCTACTTACTAGGAACTAAGTTCAGCCTGGAACACAGACCCTCCAGCCAGGAGCCCTACATTCTTTCTCATCTTTCCCAGCACTAAAAGTGTTCCCTGGGAGTACAGTATAATCCTCGATAATGTTGCTTTGCGCCAGGCATGTAGCTAGACAAGAAACATTTGGCTCCTCTACACCCTGCTATCAAAGTGTGGTCCATGGACCCACAGTGTCAGCATCTTCTGGAAATGTGCTGGAGATGCAGGCCTCACCCCAGACCTTCTGAGTCTGACTCTGCTCTTTAACTGTATCTCTAGGATTCATAAGCCCAGCAAAAGAGAGAGAGGTGTTTGAGAGAGGTGTTTCTTAGCGTGGGGAAAAATTCACATCTTCAAATTTCAAGTCAATGTATTCATATGTACTGACTTTGTGCCAAGTCCTGTGCTAACAATACCATTACAGAGTTCCAGCGAAGGAGGGTCCTACAATCTGAGCCTAATGGACTTGTCTCCTCCAAACACAAAGGGCAAGAAACCAGTGTAAGGAACAGAATCACTGCATTCTAGCGAATGGCTTATGTGATCTGTACAGCAAGTCAGTTTTCTGTCCTTTTCTGATTAAAATTGTCTTATTTGAGCATCATTGAATTGTAAAATGGGAGAAAGGTTGAGTAATGCACTATCTTACCTGACATCACCTTTTCCTCAAAGGAATGTCTGCACAGGTACAGAAGTCAGGCTTTGTGGGAGCCAGTCAGAGCTCTGCTTGCTGTCACTTGTGTGACCTTGAAAAGGATCACCTGTGCCTCAGTTTCCTCAACTTTAAAACCGAAATAAAAGCAGCCTACTTCATAGGCTGATGATAAGGATGGAATAATACTGGCCTACAATGAGTACTCAATCAGTGTGAGTTGTAGTATACATCTCCTCTGTTTTAGAGTAACTTAAACCACCACAGCCTCAGAATTGTTTCCTCCTCTAATCAACCCACATATTGATACATAGGCCACCTGACATAAAGAAATCCATAGACAGCAAAGGCAGACACTGAGCAAAGTTTGGCCTACAGAAAACCAATTTGGGACTTCTGCAAAGACACGCACTATGTTTCACTTCAAATTCTAATCCATGCTGACATGGACTAAGTGCCCAGACTGTAATCAGCCATGAAAAAATGAAGAAAAAAAGCCCATCTTTCTCACGCAACTTCATGCTGCATGCTGTCTCTTGGGAGCACACGAGTCAAACACTGTTAACCACAAACACAGACAGACAGACAGAGGGGCAACACGCTGTACTCTTTTTAAAATACAGCCCATGCCGTCCTTCCTTCCATGGGAACTGCCCAATGGACACGCTCCTTTCCTTCTCCAGAGGTCACTTCGATTTTTATTTTTATGAAAGCGGCAAAAACATACTGTGCACTCTGCATTCCACCCTCAATATTCAAAAAAAATCCCCACTGATAATTAATATTGCTCCTTTTGAAAGACAACTTCTACCTCCTTTCATAATTATGCTCAATCAAAATGTAAGAGCAAGTATTCTACAAATCAAAATCAAGACAAAACCAATGAAAATATTTTATTTGGGAGAGGTTTTTTGTTTTTATTTTCCCTCCTCAAGTGACCAAGAAAACTTAGAGTGAGTTCAAATTTTTTAAGTATTTCTAGGCTTTAGGGGAAGACTTTAAGTTTGTATATAGTCTTTAATAAAATCATAGTGTTTTCTAGCCATGCTTTTCAGATTAACAGTATTATTATACTTTTACTAGTTGCATCAGTCTGGGAGTACAACTCTTGGGGGGGGGGTCACATATTTCTAGCTGAGTTTAAGCCAATAAATTATAAGAGTAGATATCAAATAGACCTCTCTACTTGCAACTGGGTATATTTGCTTTTCATACTAGGAGGCTGTGGAAATTCTAACCTGTTGCCTTACCTGGCCGGGGGCAGAGGCTCTGGGACTAGCTCTCAAATTCATCCCCATCTGCTTACTTCTCCTGCTCCACTGAACACCTTAGCCACTGTCTGAGGCACCACTGAACACCTTAGCCACTGTCTGAGGCATGCAGTCCTTACCTGTCAGTCTTCTTCACCAGGATGGCCCTGAAGATGTGCTCAAGAGGCATTTTCTCCAGCTTGTGAGTAGGCTGCACAAAGGGATGTAAGGTAGCCAGGGAGAAGCCCTGCTGGTATAGCTCCTGCAGCTGAGCAGGCAAGTCCCGCAGGGATGCCAGCCTCACTGCTGAGGACCTCGGGAGCTCCGCTGGGAGTGGAGAGAAAAGAGAGGACATCAGAAATCCAGCAATATCACCACCAAACCAAGTCCCTCCTGTCTTGCACTAGGGAAGGATCCTCTGGGTCACTTCTCATTAAACATGAATTTATTCCTGTCTTTCCTGCCTGCAGAGACTTCATAAGTAGCTTGCCATCTTCCAATTTATCCAAACGCATCAATAATCAGATGCTTGACATCTACAACCAATCTGCTCAGTGATCACAATGGAAAAAGTCATTTGCACACCCAGGAAGAGAAATAGGGAAAAAAGAACAAGATTATACACAAATAAAAAAGTGCCAGGTGGTAAAACCAGCATAGACAAAGTAAAACAAAGCAAAAACCAAAACAAAATTAGAACACAATATCTACAACACTTAAAGAAAAAAATTATTTAACTTGTAAAGAAATCACTGCCCGCCTTCAATGCCTCCCAGAGGCAAAGCCTAGTCTCTATTTGAAAAGATAATATTAGAACTACACACATTAAAACAAATAGCACTTTTCACTTATTGAACTTATTTTTAAATTTGGATTTTCCATTTATTTTTGAGAAGTGCAGACAAGGTTTCAAAGTCAAATGATACTAATGTGTGTGTAGTAAAAAGCCTCTATCCCAGGCTTGGTCCCTGCCTTCCAATTTTTTTCCTAAAGGCAATGATTATTACCCATTTTTGTATGTATGTTGGTAATTGATGAATTCATACATAAGTAAACAGGCTTGTGTGTCTCTCTCTACTTCTACAAAAATGGCAGTATAACACCACACACTTGGCTTTTCATCAATTAACTATCATCCTTTTCTTACAATTCTTACAATATCTATTCTGTAGCAGTGCACAGAGCTCTTCCTCATTCATTTTTTAACAGTCTTCTTCTATAAGACTTTAATGAAAAATACCATTCCTGATTTCACATGTGTGCATGTATAGCCAATTAAACAATTTAAACAATACATTCCTCGACATGAAGTTGCAGGGTTACAAATTGTAATCTTTCCTCCAAATAGTAGTAGAGATTTACCTCCCATCAGTGATATCTCTTTTCTCATACCTGGATATCCTATTTTTAAAAATATGATGCCTGTGAGGTGACAATTTACACTTCTCTTATTAGGTGTTAGTGTTTTTATTAAACATTTCATATTTAAATGCTCTACTTCTTTCTCTGTGAAATGTGCATAATCTGTTCTCTATTGGATTACTGGTCTTGTTTATGTTGGTGTGTAGTAACTCTTTATATACTAGGAAATTTAACTCAAATTGTGCTACCAGTGCCAATATCTTTTCCCAATTTGTTGCTTGTCTTTTGACTTTGTATAAGGTAGGTTTCGCCATGAATAATTTTTTTCATAAAGTTAAGTTTATCAGTCCTGTCTTCAGTGGCTTTGAAAATGTGTGTCATGGCACAAAGACCTGGGACTACAAAACCCTTTTCCTGTGAATCCTGATTACACATATTTCATTTTTGCACATGCATCTTGACTGTTTTTGGGAAATGTCTTTTGTAAGGCATGAAGTTATGAATTCAACATCCTCCTAGAGTTTATCCATTTTTTAAATTTGAAATGCAACTTTTATCATCTAGTAATGAATATATTTAAGTTATAATATATAATTTATGCATTAACAGTATTGTTTTGAACAATGTTAGTTCATAACATATTTTTGTATCTGGTTAGGCTGTTCCTTGACTTTCTCTTCCTCTTTCTGAATCTTCCTAATTTATTTTTCCAAGTGGTCTTTACAAATCACCTCATCAAATTCTGTCATACCTTCCCCCAAAATGCTGAAACTTTTATTAGACCATGTTCAAATTACAGCTTAACTGTGGGAGAATGAATAATTTTTACCACGCAGAGCACTCCCATTCGAGAACATGGAATAACTTTGACTTACTCAAGTCTTCCACTGGGTCCCTCAGGAGCATATTAAGGTTTTCTTCACATGGATATTACATATTTATCAAATGTATTTCTAGTTGTTTTATGTTTTATTTCTAGTAGAATAGATTTTTTAAATTTTACTTCTAGAATACCTACACTGGAGAAACAGCTATACTTCTCACAGCTGGTCGGAGCAAACCTTTCTGCAGAGTAGGCACATTCAAACCTCAAAATGTACACACTTCCTGTCCAAAAACCCCACTACTGGTGTTAAACCTATGGCTGGACTCATGTCTTTCAAAATAAATGGACAAATCAGCAGCATCACATCCATACACATTATAGTCACCACAGATTCCAGCTGGAACAAAGCCACTCTTAATGAGGTGGGGAAACTTCGCATTGTACAACACCATGAAGGTGGGATACTCAAATGAGCACTGGGGTGGCGCTCCCGGAAGACATTTTTGTTGCTGGCCCAGGATTCTTCTCAGGCTGACCTGGGGCAGGTTCCTCTTTTCCACCCTGTCTCTGTCGTCAGATAGTCTCTGCAGCCAGGGCTTTGAATAGCATCGATTTACATCATCTTGTATAGAATGTATTTCCTTTTGGTTCAATCCCTGCCAAAGCTTTCATGGCAGTCCTGGGATTTGTGCCTCTCTCTTTGAGTGTCCCCCAGCAGGCACTGGTTTTGCCTCTCTCCTAGTACTCAACAAAATGCCATGACTTCTTATCAGAATAAATGTTTCAGAGAGTGGTAAGGCAATTGGGGAGATATGAATACTAGCTAGAAATGCAGGAACTGCAGTAATATCTCAGGTGTGGTGATGATACCATGATTATGTATGAAAGGGGCCTACCTCATTACATGTATATTGAAAAATGCACAGATATAGGTGAGATAATATTTTAAAATATACTCTGCTATCTGAGGGGGTGGAGAAGCCTGGGAGAGGAAACTGGACAGGCACTAGATCTGGGTAATGGAATCCTGGAGTTTATGCCACTATTCTTTCTTGCTGTTTAGAAATGATTGAAATTGCCTAAAAGAGGGATAACTAACATTAAAATACACAAAGAGATATCCACTATAGTGCTGATCTAATAGCAGCAATCTGGAACCAAAGAATTCTTCAGTAAGTACTAGTTAACATATTCCAATGGTAAGTCTTAAGAACATTAAGAAAGTCAAGGTAAATCTGCTATGTGTTAAAATGGAAATGTGTCTAAGACACATCACTGAGTTTTTTTAAAGGTGTCTGTTAATAGAATGGGCACTCATATTTAAAAAATTAAAAGTATGAATAAAAATACTTTTTCTGGAGGAAATTACAAAGATACCGACATTAGAAAAAGGGGCAAAAATAGGAAGAAAAGAGTGGAAAAGTTGTTTTCATATTTTCAAAACTATTACTAGCAACAGGGATCATTTCAGTGAGAACTTTATAAGACATTTTATGTTCTTTGTATGTAAAAAATATTATTTGAAAGATAAGTATTTTTAGAATAATGTGTATTTTTAGAAATGAATTTAAAAATAAAATCCAGGGGACTTAATATCATGTAGCACAAGACACAATAGTTCTCATTTCCATGGATTGTGCAAGAAATTTACAGGAAAAAGGATCCATAGCAATGATTCACTCTAAATCAGGTTCCAGTAGCCTGAAGAAACCTTCATTAACAGGAGTGACAAATGTAAGGCCGGGTAGGAAAGCAGAAAAGTAAGTAATTCCTCCCTTGAAGGCTAGGTTTTTTTTTTTTTTTGAAGGGTAGGCTTTAGTATACTGCTGAAGAGAAAAAAAAAAATCCAAAGGTGAGGCTGGTAATAAATGCAAGAGGTGGGACTGTAACTCAGTGGTAGAACATTTGCCTAGGACATTCAAGGTCCTGGGTTCAGTCCTCATTACCTCAAAAAAGAAGAGGAGGGGAGGAAAGGGCAACGACTAAGCCCCTTTGTATTCCCCATGCATGGAAAATCTGCCAACCTGTCCCACGATCAGTTCATTGTACTCAGACAACAGGGGCCCCTGCCTTGGACCTGACATTAGGGCCCTCAAAAGTACGTACCACAGTTGAGCTGCAGGACCTGGGAACTCATAAATAAGGGCTAGTGGCTACAACCCACACTCACTGAACCACTTGTGCCCCTACAGTCTCGCCCAGAAGTACAAACGCCAAGAACAACTGCTCCTGGGAGCTGCTGTGGTCCTCCAGCCCATCCTGCACACAGGCAAGGAAACTGGGTCCAAGGCCTCCTCCAACTGTGTCCCACTTCAGGCAGTCCAACAGGGCAAGGAACTCCCTGCCCTACTGACACGGAGCCTTTTCTGGGGGCCACGCAAGCCTTTTCTCCAGTCCACAGTGAGGGTGGTAGCAAACCATGCAGCTGACCCCCAGACCCAAGGCAATGGGGCAGAGGTTAAAGGCAAGTCATGAGAAATTCACCGTAGGTTCAAAAATAGGGAGCACCAAAAACTCAGAAATTAAATAAATATTTAGTGGGCAATGAAAAACTTAAAAAATGCCAAAAATCCATGATCAACAAAGGACTAAACTTTCTAATAAATATGGGGTATTACTGTTTTTTTCTTTTCAACTCAAGCATGACTGCAGCTCACATGATACTTTTACCATCTTGTATTTACTTAAAATCTTGCCTCATTCGCTTCACCTTGGTCCCAGCCAGGACCCAAGACCTTCCTCTCTCATCTTGCAAAAGCTTCTTTCGGAGAATGAGAGAATATGGCCAGGTTGCCTGTGCTGTGAGCAGCTCACAAAGCTACTGAAAAGGGTTCAACCATGTGCGGCCAAGACACTGCATGAACACAAGTAGATGTGAAAGCCTTTCACAACATCCACTGAACCTAAACACACCGTGCAACTCTCGGATCTTCTCTTTTATGACACAACTCTATATAAAAGTGCATCAGTCTGTCTCTACAGTTGTCTTTTTTAAAACGTGTCACCCTTTGCATGGATTTCAATAATTTATATATTTGCCTGGTCTCATGCATTGCTCTGTAATAAAAAGTAAAAGCAGAGGATGAGGTTGGAAGATGAGATCTAGATCTAACATTAACTGCATTCTTCACCAGCCGTT